CTTAAGAACTTTAGAGAAGGGAGTTATAGACATGCACAGGAAAATGCACTTTGACCTCTTGACCTCAGGTGCCCCTTTGACCTGCTTTGATGCCAGTCAGTATGGGACCCTCCTGATTGTGGATGCTGAGGAGGAGTACTTCCCAGAGGAGGTGACCAAGCTAAAGAGAGACATAGATAATGGGTTGTCAGTTGTCATCTTCGCTGACTGGTACAATGTGACTGTCATGAAGAAAGTCAAGTTCTATGATGAAAATACAAGGTGAGTTGGAATAAATAATGATAATAGTGGAACATATATAGAGTCATTGTATAATGCAGCATGTCTTTTCATTTTGTTTTTTGTGTTTTTTTTTTTTGTTTTGAATTTTAAAATACCGCTATGTTTGGCTTTTATAACTCATACAGAAAGAAATATCTTTCCTATTCCGAAAACCTGTTCACCATATGTGACATTACTTACATCCGTCAAGGGAATTTTCTGTAAAGATACCTTGTACTTGTGTGCAAATGCATTTTCATTAATATTGTCTACCATGAATTGTCAATTTTTCACTGCAGACAGTGGTGGATGCCAGACACGGGGGGAGTCAACATCCCGGCCACAAATGATCTGTTAGCACCACTGGGCATGGCATTCAGGTGGGCACCAGATTTTCCAATAATGCCTACAAGAAACAAATACTGAAAACAATTTTAGCCTGAATTCTTTGTCTAGTAAAATGTGTTTGATTAATGTGCATGCCCTTTGTTTCAGTGACAGAGTGTATGAGGGAGATTTTACCCTGGGTGACCATGAGAGTGAGTCTAGAGTAATTTTTTCCCAGTAACTGATTCATATGCTTACACTTAACATTTTATTTATGATGTCATTTGCTTAGATGTCCATCACATGACTGTATATTGTCTTGTAATGAGAACTTTAATCAGAACTTCTGCCTTGTTTTTCAGTGTATTATGCATCTGGAGCCAGTCTCGCTAAATTTCCAGATGATGGCATCATAGTTACCCAAACACTCAAAGATCAAGGTTTGTGATAAAGCCTTTTCTTGAAATGGAATTAAAACTTGACTCTCTCAAAGCAACTGCAAATTTCATGAAAATCTAGTTTATACATTTTGAATGTTAGAAGAATGCCATATTACATATACAACTGTCTGCTGCAGGTCATGAGGTGTTGAAGGGGTCCTCAGTCATGAAGGAGAATGTCCCTATTCTGGGTCTTTATCAGACAGTGGCACAGCCCAGCGGTGGGAGAGTGGCTCTGTATGGAGATTCCAACTGTCTGGATAACAGCCACATGCAGAAAGGTAATAAATGTGTATTTGTATTTCTTCTTATAGTTTTTTTAGCTCACCTGAGCCAAAGGCTCAAGTGAGCTTTTCTGATCACACTTTGTCCGTCGTCCGCCTAGCTGTCCATCTGTCCGTCCGTCTGTAAACTTTTCACATTTTCGACTTCTTCTCAAGAACTAATGGGCCAGGAAAGCTGAAACTTATGTGGAAGCATCCTTTGGTAGTGTAGATATTAAATTGTTAAAATCATGACCTCCAGTGGAAGGCGGGGCCACAATAGGGAACCCAAATTTTACATAGAAATATATAGAACAAATCTTTAAAAATCTTTTTCTCAAGAACCACTGGGCCAAGAAAGCTGACACTTATGTGGAAGCATCCATGGGTAGTGTAGATATTAACATGCATTCTCTGTAAGCACCAAAAAATTTACTATAGGGCTTGGAAACGACATATCTCCGATTTTGATGAAATTTGCACCAGAGGTGCACCTTGGTACAAAACCAGCAAATAGGTGTCAGAAGTTTCCCACGTGCACCCGGTTGCCATGGAGATGGATCCATTGAATTTGGCCATTTTCGGCCATTTTTGACCAAACAAAAACATGAAAATTGAGGAAATATAAATGCATTTTTATCTTTATGTAGTAAAATCAAATATAAATCTTTGTATCATAAGATAACATCAACTTTTAAGGAATACAGGGCATATAATCAGTTATTCCAGAATTAACCCCACTCTTGGAAAATGGTCCTGCAAAATGGCATAGGATCTGAAAATGTGAAAAATGGAAAATTTGGCATTTTTTAAGAAATTTAAGGTTAAATAAAAAAAATTGTCTACGGAAATTTTTCAAATCTTATGAATGTCGTGAAACGTCAGTATTAGTAGTGTCCCCTCATGAAAAAATCGGAGTGGGATCTCAATGCTATTTTTAGTAACATGTATCTAAAAATAGACATATTTCAGAAAAATCCAAAAAATGAAATTTTGGCAGAGTTTATGATGTCATTGCAAGGTAATTATGAAATATACTGTAAAAGTCAATATGCTTATGCCAGAGACTGGACACCAATAACTACCATGCATATTATTTTCGAGGATTTCCATTTTCTATTTATAGCTTCAAATGCCTAAATATAGACATGTTTCATAAAATGCTGAAAAATGTCAATTTTCCATCATTTTGAAGCTTCACTGAGTCTTAAATAATAAACATATGGATCTCTCCAATATTTCATCATTAAGAACAAGGAATAGTTTAATAACTAGCAAATTATTGAGGACAGGCTCTCATATCTATAAATAGTACAAATGTCTAAAAATAGCCCCTATGAAATTAACTGTTTAATGTTGATTTTCCATTAATTCTCAAATTAGAGATGAACAATTTACCGACTTACTGTCATTAACTGCAACTGACATAATGTGACTGACAAGAACAGAAGAACATTCAATGGAATGCAGCATGATAAGCAAAGGTTTCCATTTCTATTTATAGTAACACATGTTTAAAAATAGAGGTACTGCGAAATATCGGGAAAATGTAGTTTTTAGTACTTTTTTCTCATATTTTGGATGAAAAATTGCAGACTACATGTTTTTAACTGCTATTGGCATATGATGACCAACAAGTAAAAGAAAGCATTATATGAAATACAGAATGATAAGCAAAGGTGTCCATTTCTATTTATAGTAACACATGTTTAAATGTCCCGTGGGGATCCGGGTTAGAATAGATTCTCAGTACCCCCTTGCTTGTCGTAAAAGGCGACTAAATGGGGCGGTCCTTCGGATGAGACCGTATAAACCGAGGCCCCGTGTCACAGCAGGTGTGGCACGATAAAGATCCCTCCCTGCTCAAAGGCCGTAAGTGTCGAGCATAGGCCTAAATTTGCAGCCCTTCACCGGCAATGGTGACGTCTCCATATCAGTGAACTATTCTGGAGAGGGACGTTAAACAGTATACAATCAATCAATCAATCATGTTTAAAAATAGAAGTACTGAAAAATTTGGAAAAATGTAGATTTTAATTCTTTTTTCTCACATTTTGGATGAACAATACCAGACTATCTGTTTTTTTAACTGCTATTGGCATATGGTAACCGACAAGTAAAAGAAAGCATTATATGAAATAAAGTGAGAAGCAGAGGTTTCCATTTCTATTTATAGTAACACATGTTCAAAAATAGACATGCTGCAAATTCTCGAGAAAATGTAGACTTTCGCACTTTTTTCTTACATTTAAGATGGACAAAGTACAGACAAGTGACTTTTATTTGTTATTGACAGAAGGTGACTGACGAATATGAAAAAAATTAAGCTAAAATGCATAAGAATAATGTTTAAGGGTATTTTTCCATTTCTACCTTTAGTAACACATATTTATAAATAGCCAGGAAGATGTAGAATCATTTTTTTTTTATATTAGGGATAGGAAATTTGCAAACTTTCATTAGCTGTAACTGACATGGCTAATTGTATTCGGCGCGCCAGCACGTCCATCTCATTCCAATATCACAAAAGTATGTTCTCCTTGCATTAAAACACTCAAATGACAGGGATTGTTATAATTTAAGCATTATTGCTTATATTCAGGTCGACAGCCCGTGCCCAATTGCATTTTTTTTTGCTAGGTGGATCCAGAAAAATTTCCCTAGGGGGTGGTGGATCATATCGCAACGGGAAGAGGTCCGAGGCATAGCTTTAGTAATTTCATTACGTCAGTTTAAATAAAGTTGAATAATCCAGGGATCCGGATCCCCTTTGATCAATGCATGCCTCACGTTACCACAATTTGTTCAAGAGTAATCCAAAATTTACCCCAATTTTTTGAGTTGGCCTACTTTCGATTTCTCTCTCTATATACGTACATGTATTTATTTCTCCAGACTTTAACTATCGCATTGACAAATATTTAGAGCTTTGGTATTTATAATCTTTTTTACATATAAACATCCATGTAGGTGTTGGTACGGGGGGGGGCTTACAAAGATAGACATCATATAGGTAATAAACATTGGGGAGTAGCCCCCCCCCCCACACACACACACACTTTCAGCAGGTTGCAGTGTAGTCGAAGAGGGTAAGTGGTAGTGTTTGAAAGAATAAAAATGGCAGTGAAAAAAGTTCTATCCCCCTCCCACGAAATAGGATTCATGTGTGGACAATAGACACACACCCCCTTTATTATTTTTTTCAGTTTCGATTTAAATTTTTCTTCCCTCCCCCCCCCTTTTCAATTTGCATCCAACACGAATGTAACGAATTAGAAATTCACCAGTATTTTGTTATGACCATAGATTCTAGAGTTTTACCTACTTTTTAAAGACTTGATTCTTTGGTAGTTTTAAAAGAGGCCAAAGGGCCTTGAATCGCTCTTCTGATAAATTGTTCAATCTATCACTTCTATTTGAAGCCTCTAACTCTAATTATTGTAAGACCAAACTTGATTATCTGACAAAGTTTGATAATTCTTGGCAAATTAGGTCTGAAAATATTTTAATAAAGCTATAGAAAAAAATCATAAGTAGGTCACAGTGACCTGTTTTCTGATGACTTGAGATGCATTAATAGACAAAGATTGAGGATTCTAAGCCAATAAGTATTTGATATATTTAAAATTAGGTCACTGTGACTTTCTTTTTTGTCTACATTCTCCGAAACCCCAATATGCATCAACTGACAAAGTTTGATGATTCTAAGCCAACAAGTACCTGAGATAGTCAAAAGTAGGTCACCTTGGCCTTCTATTTGGTCGACATTATCTGAAAACCCGAGATGCATCAACTAAGAAAGTTTAATGATTCTAAACCGCTCAGTGTCTGAAATAATGGGATTCAATGTTTTAAAAAGGATTAGTTATAAAGTTTAAAAAGAAGGTCAGGTGACCTACGTTTAAGTTGACATTGTTTGAGGACCCAAGATGCATCAACTGACAGAGTTTGATGATCATAGGCCTTAAAGTGTCCAAAATATGCCTTCAATTTAATTTGATAAAAATATACCCGCAAAATTTAAAAAGTAGGACACCGTTACCTACTTTTGAATTAACATGATCTTAACAAATCCTAAGATGCATCAACTTACAAGATTTGATGATTCTGGTCCTCATAGTAAGCAAATATAAACGTTTTTATTAATTCCAAATTTGGGTCAACTTTGAAGTGACCTTGAGACCACACCCTTTGTCCCAGGGTAATTTCCCATGCAAATTTTAATCTTCACCATATCTTGATCCTTGTATGTAAGTTTGATGAAAATCTACCTGGTGGTTATTGACAAGAAGATATTTTTTTAGCAACCAGTACTTTTTGTTTTGTTTTCCTGATAATCTCCCCTTGTTCAAGGGTCCCAACCCTTATTTTAGTATAAATGATATCCCTTGGGCCAAGGATATACTGTGACAAATTTATTGAAAAATCAAACAGAGAAGTCTTATCCCTTCATCTAAGGATACTGTGCGGCAAGTTTAGTTGAAATTAACCCAGTGCTTCTTGATAAGAAGATGAAAATGTAAAAAGTTTCCAACAAGAACGACAACGACTGACAATGCACAAATGATCATAAAAGCTCATTTGAGCCTTTATTTTAAAACGTGTTACTAGAAATAGAAATGGAAACCCACATTATTATGTATTTCGGTTACTGCTCTCTTGTACGTGTCGGTTACATTATGTCAGATACAGCTAATGAAAGTCTGACTGCAATTTTCTATCCCAAATTTGAGAAAATAGATCGATTTTACATTTTCTTTATTAATTGCTGAATGCCTACATGTATTTATAAATATACGTTACTATAGGTAGAATTGGGAAAATACCCTTAAACATTATTCTTATACATTTTATCTAAAGCTTTCTCATATTCGTCAGTCACCTTCTGTCAATAACAAATAAAAGTCACTTGTCTGCACATTGGTCATCCAAAATATGAGAAAAAAGTACTAAAAACTACATTTTTCCGATATTTTGCAGTATGTCCATTTTTAAACGTGTTACTGTAAATAGAAATG